CCCTTCCCACTTTCCCTACACCTTTAGCCCTTTACTTCCTATTTCACATTATTAATTGTCTCATTAGGATCCTGTGTACTATTATAGTTTTTCACACCAAAGAAACTATTCGGTATTTCAGTTAAAGAAATCTCTGTATGAACATTAAAAATAGGGAATCCTAAAATAAAACTAAAAAGGAAAGTAAAAGAGAAAAGGCAGTGATGTAATATTAAAATAATCCTTAATTCTGGAGATGAAAATGGCCCCTGAACATATTTAAATTGCTTCTCGCTCTTATAGTCTTATCTTATTCTTTTTTCATTATTTAGGGAATACTTTATTAGTTTCTGTAATCAAACCTACGTAGATATAACCTTAAACTACTAATAATGAGTTGAGTCCTCCATCTCTTTAATAATATCTCTTTATCCCTTCTGTCTTCTTTTTCTGCTTTTAATGACATGTGATTTTACATTGGACTTACCTAGATAATCCAGGATCTTCTCTGTACTTTAAAGTTGATTGCATTAATTCTATTTGCAAACTTCCTTTTACCATATAATATAACATACACAGAAATAACACCAAGGAATGAGATCCCACAGTTTCTGAATAAATTGATTTACTTCCTTAAACCAGAAAAAAAGGTAGCCTCAATCTGATATCCCAGTTTAGTTATGTTTCTCACATATGTAACCTCAACCTCATTCTAGGTATTCTGGTTCCCAGAGAGGGAAAGAGTGATACTCTGAGCCCTCCTTATTTGTGCTTAGGACCAGGTTCAGAAGAGACCCTGGCTTTGAATGACCCAGTGGCTTTCTGCTTTGAGTTGCAGGAGATTCGTTGCAGCTTGAAGCTGATGAGGCAGCAGAAGAATCTCTCTTCCCCATGCCACCTGGCCAGGAGACCTGTCCTGAGTACCCAGTGAGTGAAAGCATCTTTGAGAACCAGCCACTTAATCCCATCCTGGATGACGACTGCAGCTCAACTCTTGTCTTCCCCATACAGAAGTCCTTTACTGTGGCCTCCTGTGCCTCAGAGAGCCACTCCAATTGGGTACACACCCCTATTGAATGCACAGAGCTGGACCTGCAAAAGTTTTCCAACTCTGCCTCCTATACTGTAGCTGATACCTTTGAGAGGAACACTGGTGAAAACTCTGGAGACAGGCTGGAGCTCAATGTGCCCTTTCAAGTTCTCAGCCCTTAACTCTACTGAGGTGAACTGGAAAGGTGGGGCAGAAAGTCTAGAAATTAGAAGCCAGCCTCAAGGAATTTCGCTCCATGTTCAGTAGGGCTGTGGTAGAGGAATAGCATTAAGCTAGAAATAGTGGTATGTTGGGGAGTAATTATGGTGATATTAATCTTCAAGCCAGTCAGACGTCACACTTCTGAGTTAGGCTTAAGACTGCCCTCAGTTACAATTTACTTATACACTTACATATATTACATTTACCTGATCTTCATAACACTATCCCTTTCTGGTAAACAGGTCAGGGTATATTTGCCTCACTGTATGGGGATGTGAACTGAAATACAGAAAGGAAAAGCGATTTACTTGTAGATCTAGGCTAGAGTCAAGGTTTTAAGGCTCCATTCAAGAGCCCATCCAACTCCACCATTGCAAATAATCTATAGGTAATGTTTTTTCTCAGTCTTAAATATGAGACAGGTAAGTAGGCAGAGTTCTAATTTTCAAATAACCATCTACTTTTCACACTACTCATTTCCATATTATATCAGTTAAGATATTGCCGGCTGTACCTTAACTTCCCCTTATGTCCTACCTAAAAAGATATGACATGCATTACACATTTGAAAGCCATGACTGATACTAATCTAGTCATCCTTCAAGTCTTCAAGGTAATCTAGTCCAATCCTTCCTATAAAGTCTGCAATCCGTAGTTAGGCATATTTTTATAAAACATTTGTTTTGTTTCTTTGTTTTTTTGGTGCCAGGGATTGAACTTGGTTCCTTGTGCTTGCAATGCAGGAAGCAGAAACACTAAGATAAATCCCAGGCTTATAGAACATTTGTAATATCTCTTATCCAAAATTGTTGGTACCAGAAGTGTTTCACAATATGGATTTTTTGGTATTTTGGAAGATTTGATAAGATAGATAGATAGATAGATAGATAGATAGATAGATAGATAATCTTAAGAATGTGACCAAAGTTTAAAGGAAAATCCATCCATATTTCATATATACGCAGCCTGTAGGTGATTTTATGCAGTGTTTTTAGCGCTTGCAGTTTGACTGCAATCAGTCATGTGAGTTCCAGATGTGGAAATTTGGTGCTTAAAAAGTTCTATATTTGGAGCATTTACATTTTTGGATTTTTGGATTAGGGATTCTCAACTTAATTTTACACCAAGAATTTATATAATCTTTCCTTATACATTGCTTAATACAGCTATACTAGTAGATGTGAGCTAAATATAAAAAACAAAACAATTTCCATCTCCTTGGGTTCTGGCTGTGTTCCTTGGGCCACACAGAGTTTAGTTCCTTTCTTTATCTTGTAATACTGCTGCAGAGGTGTAAAGGTAGCATCTCCGCTTTGGAAGGTACCACTTTAGATTCTTCTGAGGTATGTAGGGCTCAGAACTGAACCCAGTTTCATGAAGAACTGCCTCATTAGTTTAGAACATAGCACTATTTTCTTCTCCGTATATAGGTGAGGTATTTCTGTTGTTGCATACCGTACCATTTATCTAACACATGATTATGAGGGTTCTAGGGAGAGGAAGTAAATACTGAGATTGGCTCCCAGTTTTCTAACTTGCTGTACTCCTCTCTAGGTCTCTCCTGCTCCTGTCAGCCTTGGCTAGTCATTCTAGACTCTCCTGCCTTATTCTTATACCACAGCAGCAGCAAAGACCTGAGATATGGTGTCCACAACAGCCAGTAATCTGCAAATGGGGTATATTCTATCCCAATCTTACAAAGGATTGGTTCCCCACCATTTCCTCAAGACTAACCTCGGAAAATGCTTACTTACTTGCTTCCCTGTTACATCCTGAAGAGCCAAATTCCCTAGCCTGAAATTACTGGACATGTTCCTAGATCAATTTAATTATAGAAAAGAGCAGAGGGAATGACAATGAAGAGACTAGTTTCCCTGCTTAAGTTTTGATCCTGTGAGCTTGAAGCAAGGAGGCTCCCAGATTATTTGCATCCACCTAGCACTTTAGAGACAAAAGTGAAACCATTTTCTTTTAGCTCCTCTACAGTCTCCCCAACACACAAATGCGCACTCCCTCGTGCACGCGTGCACACACACACACACACACACACACACACATCCCTTTTAGGGGAGGCCTGGTACTATGAGCCTCCATGTCACACCCTACACTTTCATGGATATGAAATCTCGATAGCTTGCCCAGTTGTTAGGATCTTCCTTCCTCCTCACAAATAGTTCTGTACCCTTCTTTAGTAAGGATTCCAAACAGTGTCTCTTTGTTTCACTTCAAAATGGTGTTTCCTAAATTCCTTTTCGTTTTTATTTCTCTTCTACTCTTGACTATTTTGTTGCTTCCTGATGCCTGGTCTTTGAGGTGAAGTGCAGTTCCTGAGGTCTGGGAGGAGCCACTGAGAAGCTAATGTTTTCACTGGGTCCTGTTCCTAGGGAAGTTCAGAGACCAGTTGGTGCTTTGGGGAAAAGCCAGTCGATTTCTTCTGAGCCTACAGCACCAGTTTCATATGTTTCTTAGAATAAAATGGAACTCCTTTCTATGGCCTTCCAGTGGGACAGGGTAGTTGTGACCCTTAAAGCTCAGGTGTGAATATTGTATGTTGTTTTTAAGTCTCATGTCTATAATGAGCCACTTAGACTATTAACCACTCCCTTAAAGTAGGTCAGGCATGGAAGGAAGATGTGTTTAACCCTTACCTCATCCATACTTTATGCAGTTTAATGTAGGCCATCTCCACCACCAGGAAAAGTACCTGGCTTCATAGACTGTTAAATGCTGATGAAGCAGCAGTGGTGTCTTCGGTTGAAAAGTGGCACCAAATTTCATTGGCATCTTGGTCCAACTGAGGCAGAATGCAGAAGATTCTTGCTCTTTTTCTCCAACTCTTATCCCCTAGGACCTATAAGGGTTTCTCTACCTTCTTCCAGGTTGCCCTAATTCACTGCACTCCCTGGGTCATCTGGAGGATCCTGTGCATGTTTGGAGTGATGTGATACTGAGTTGCAGGATAGGGCAGGACATACAACTACGCTCTGGATCTTACAGGCTTTATACTGTAGAGGTGCTATATCCATCTACCCCCAGTAGGAAGCATGATTAGAGTTAGCTGTCTTAGAACCTTACAGAACATTTCTGAGCCAGGGTAGTCTTCCTTCTGGGGACTGGATTCCCAAAACTACCTCGTAGCAACCAAAGACATGTCCTTATGAATTAAGTGCTAACTGTGTGAGGAGGGGAAAGAGGCCCCAATCCCTTTTTCTGTTAACATATCAGTAGGTACGAGCTTTCCTCCCAACCCCTTCCATTTGATTATTTTTGCAGTGCCTTTTTAACTTTAGCTCTCACCTATACATTTCATGACCAGAGAGAAACAAGCTCCTTAGAGGTAATATTATTCCTTATTATCTAAGAATCTCTCTGAAGATTACAAATCTAGTTCCTATTCTACCAGCACTTGGTGGTTAATTGAGTATTTTAAACAGAGTGTTTAACTCCATCTCCTAGCCCTGACAGAGTGTTCTTTACAGCAAGACTACTACATTTAGGATTTTATTAAACACATTTAAACAGTTCACCTTCAGACTGAACTCTGATTCACAGCCCTTGGGACAACCTACTAATTAGATAATGGCCCCTGATTAGTGGACTGTAAAAGTGAAAAGGTACCATTGTGTATTGGGTGTCTGAATAGAAGCAAATGAATTGAATTGCATGCTTTCACCAAGCATCCTGACCTCATGCAGGTATTAGCAAATGTGTGAGAGCCAAGATTTAGGCCATGGCTTAAAGGTTCTTGGTTCTTTTTTCTTTTTCTTTTTCTTTTTCTTCCCAGGACAGTTTATCCTTATCGCAATGGCTAGTGTTTGTCATGTTTACATCTCTGGGCCAGAGGAAGTACTTGTACCCAAACAGAGTGATTCAGCTTGAGCAGGCGTTCAGGTGTTCACTGTGGGCATGGCAGTGATTCAAGTCCAAATATAACAGCGCTCCTCTGTGAAAACGATAATGATGATAACACAATATTATAAAATGGCACTGTCACTCACTTCGCTGTGCCTGCTCAAAACATGCACATTATGCAACCATACCCAGAATTGCGTTGGTTCCAATTTTCTGAAGTTAAATGATTGGAGTTGGCAATTGGAATAGGGCAAAAAAGTTTTGTTTTGCTTTGATTTTAAAGATATTCCGGCTAGAGATGAAATAAAAAATGCTGTTTTTCTTTCTAATTACTGTTTGACCACAGCCAATGTCATATTTGACTGTTTGCTCCAGGAAAGTTGTTTGAAAGGTTTTCTTTTCATTGCTTTTAGAGCAGGAGTATCTTTGAGAACTATGCTTTTATATGTCTTTTCCTCTTGGCAGTTAACTGATCAGAGAAATCATAGAATGTACTTGATAGAACATTTTCAGCATACTCTGAGCCCAGAAAATAATTGATTTGTCCATAATCAAATTAGTGAAAGAAAATTCCTTATGTTTTCGGTGGTGAGTTGCTGAGAATGAATTATTTTTTCCTTTACTGTTTTCCTCTCCATACACCTTAGCTTGAATTTTGCATAGTCTGGGAGAGCAACATTCTTCTCCAAGTTCCTCAAGCCCATGCTAGGTAAAAGTGTCAAATATTACAGCTACACAGTAACAAACATACAACTTACCTACACTGTGATGATCATCCCTCTTGTTCCCTTTCTACCTCCATTATCAAAGTCTTTGGGGTTTCACATCAAATGTAGTTACATTTTTCATCACCAATGAATTACTTGTAGAGATTTTGCTAATCTTGAGTGATACACGTGTGGATATTGGCAGAATTGTTCTGTGCAAAAATGTCATATTAGCTAATAAATAAAAATACATTTAAATATCTTGCTTGTTCCTCTGCCTTCAGAGAACCCAAGCGACTCATTTGTCTTCTGTGTCTTTGTTCAATAAGTAAAGCAAGCATTATGTTTTTGATTATTAGATATAGCACCTGGGTTGGTGGGATTCATTGAATTGTCACCCAGAAGATTTAGGTTATAGTCTAAGCTTTTCTATTTTTTGAACTGTATATGACAATTGGATACTTGTCTGTGCTACAGATCTACTAGAAACTCTTGTGTTCTAAACTAATACTTCTCAAGTAAGGTTCCATAGATCTAAGTGGACTGTGAATATATCTTCTGAAGTCTACAAAATCTCTAGGAGTTTGTGTATATATGTGTTTCTTTTCAGTTTCCATAATACTACTTGAAAAACATAAGCATATTCTAGCTAGACCACCTGAAGAATTCCTACCACCATTGTGGTTCCATTTCAGGGTCTGTATTTGTGTTTACAATTTCATTGGATTCAAGGAACCACTAAAAGAACATCATTTAATTTTGAATGCTGAGCTTTTCTAAGATTTTATTTAAGGAATAAGGAAATCAAATTTATTCCCATTTTTAATATTCTCTCATCCCAATAAAAATACATGTTGATAAGGAGGTAAGGAAATGAGAATCTTCATACATGGTTGATGAAATTTTAAAATGGTACAACCAATTTTGAAAACAGTCTGGCAATTATTCTAAAACTTAAAACTAAAACTACCATGTTATGCAGTAATTCCACTCCTAAGTATAGAGTCAATATAATTATATGCACAAAACTATACACAAATATTCATAGAAATGTTACTTATGATATTCAAGAATCAGAAGCAGCCTAAAAGTCCATCAACTGATGTAGGGATAAACAAATTGTAGTACATACTTATAATGGACTATTATGAAGGAATTAAAAGAACTGAACTTCTGACTCACAGTGTACTGTGGCTAAACCTTAAGGCATGCTAATTAAAAGAAACCAAATACAAGACACTACATACTGTGTGGTTCCATTTATATAAAACGTTCATAAAAGGCAAGCTAACAGAGATAGAAATTAAATTAGTGGTTCTGAGGACTAGG